AGCTCCAAACAGTTGGCAACTACTCCAGCTTTCTCTCTTGAAGTTGCCAGCTGCCCAAGTCCCTGCATAAAGTGCTCAGCTTTTGATCATACTTGGGCATAAACCCAGCTTGTGGCAGACACATCATCACCCCTAACCTGCAACCTGTAAAGTCTCCCTGTTTTTGTTTGTGGGCATGGCTTCCCTGCCCTCAATCTCTAGAACTGAAGAACCATCCTGGTATTTGCTTTGCTCAAATAAACCTGTTATTACACTCCCCCCCCCAATTCAGTTTGATCTAGCTCCCTGTGTTGGCAGAGAAACCTATTATTAGGGCCAGAAAACCTATTTTCTTGGTGCCAAAACCCAGGAGTAGTTGAGCTTTCTTACCCAGTGGTCCTGGCTACACGGTGGGGGGTGGGCACTCCTCTTCCTTTATTTTTCTTTCTGCAAGACATGATTGACTTTCAACTTGAGAAAACTCACCTGCTTCCCAGCCACTGCCTAAAGAGGTACCAGGTACCTCTTCTGGGTTCGGGACCCCTGGTCTATTCTAGGGGAGAGACAGTCTCTGGTGTGGGGTGTCCCTGGGTTTGGAGATGTCCTTCTCAAGAGGGTACCCCACACCCATTGCTCAACTCCAGGCTATCGCGTCAAATACCTCACCCTGGTCTTTGGTCTCCAGCATATACTTAGAAATGGCCAGTGCTGGGTTCTAAACCCAATCCTCAGTCACTTCTGGAATATCTGCTGTGAAATTTATCCATCAATTTGGGCTGTCCCACAGTATATGCCCAAAACAAATGGTTTGAGGTTCCTTATGTCCAGGATTTTTTAGCTCTACACTCCCACCCATCCCTCTGTAGCCAGTGCTTAGCAGCTTGGGTTGTGCTGGCCAGGTTTGTGGTGGCCCTAGACACCTTTTCACCCAGGGACTGACTGACCCTGAACACTCAAGTTATTTAATTGTAGTCACATTAAGTACTAATATAATTAATTACATGGATAGACCTTACTTAGTCCCTGGTATAAGTTTTCAAAGTAAAACCTAAAATAAGTAACTAGAAACAAGCAAAATATGTCTATTCAGATATACCTAATAGATGGTCCTCTACCTATTAGACATTCAGAACATGGCATTTTAAACGTTTAATTAAAAAAAAAAAAAAAGCTTTTCATGATAGATAGACATGCCAGCTCCTGGTATACTCCTATCTCCTCCAAAGAAGATGGATAGGTGCTGCTTTGCCTAGACAAGGTAGGCGGCTCCCCCAAGTCCCTACTCCATAGAAGTCTGTCAGATCTTCTGGAAACCTAGCAGCCAAAGACTAATGCTGACCTGGGAGCTCTGTCACCAATGACCATGAAGGAACCTGGGGTAGCTGTCTAGTTAGCCAGTAAGTCCTTGCCACTATTAATGGATTCAGAAACTGGTCCGCACATCTGCTTACTCAGGTGAAATTTATCCTCAGATCTGATGGTGTTTGACTAGGCCTCTGATAGCTTCCCCAGTTTAACAGCCTTCCCAAGGCTACAGCCTCGTTGGTAGTTCATCAGTTAAGTTTCTTGTTAAGAAATACAGACAGATTTGCCTTGTTCACAGGCTTTGTTTATAGTAAAGGAAAAACAGATTTCAGATGTAACTTTCCACCAAAGGAACACAGAAAATCACTTAAGATGTATAAATTCAAGTTGTAAAGGTATAAGTAAATGATTTAAGGTATATAAAGATGCTTTGGACTTAAGTACCCTTTCTATTTATTATTACATTGGGATATCATTGGTTCAGAGTTTTAGCATTGATAAATGGCGTTCTGGTAAACTGATAAAGCAGCGACTATTTACTATTCAGTTATAAGCTCAAGGTTTTAAATTTCTGTTGGTTGTCTTCTAAGTATAGGCTTAAAGGTACATTTCATCAGGCTAAAACATATATCAGGCTCTCTAGGCACAGAAAAAAATGTTTATGTCTTTTAACCCAAAGCCATAGCCTTTGCTATGACACCACCATGTAAATCTATTCCAGTTGTTTTACAGACTCCTGCATGTTCCTGGGGAAATAGTGTTGCTACTCTGTTAATGAGTCTGGCCTGGTGGAAATTAATATGGAGTCTACACAAACTGTCTGAAGACCTTCACCAATACAACCAGGGTGACATCTCTGTTCCCTTCTTTCTGGCAATTTTTACTCTTCCCATGGCTAGCACCATTTGTAGGACCAGTGGTAATAATCTATTCCCCCCCCCCAGCACTTTTGCCTTCTCTGCCTCTGCCAAGAACAGGTTTGCAAGGTCTCCAGGGTGGTGGTTAATGGGATACTTCTTCACCTTCTGCTGAGTATGAGCCCACTGACTCCTGACTCCTCCTCCCCACATGGTTCCATGCTAGCAGGAAGTAGCCAGATTTGAACCAGCACCCATATACACAAAAAGGCTGGGATGTTTGGTTGGAATCTCCAGCTTGCTCCTGCATGGTCCGAGAAACCCTATTCCTGTGTCTCCAAACCCTACTCAAAGAATCTCCAAACAAAGGGCACCAAAAAGCCCAGGTCAGCCCAATTCTGTATCTTGGCTGCTACTGTAGTTTCCTCCCCTGAAGTTGCCAGTCCCTGCCTAAATTGCTCAGCTTTTGCTCATACTTGGGCATAAACCCAGCTTTGGTAGACACATCATCATCCCTCACCTACGACCTATAAAGTCTCCCTGCTTTTGTTTGTGGGCATGGCTTCTCTGGCCTCCATCTCTGGGGCTGGGGAACATATCCAGGAGCTTTGCTCAAATAAACTTTTAACATTTTTTTCAATTTTGCATGATCTGGCATACTGTGTCAGTGCAAAAACCTGTGGTGGGGCGGGGGCATGCAGAAAACCTATCACCCAAAAAGAGATTCTAAGACCCTTTGATTTTAAAACCCTTTCCAGACACCAGTCAAGGGTTTCCTTCCAGCATCTGAAAGTTCATCCCTCTGGAGAGGTACCCCAAAACTGCCAACTCACCCCAAATTCAGCTGAAAGAAGCTAGATTGGCCATTGCCTTAATCCCATAACGACAGTCAGGGCAGTCAGGGCTATCTTACCTCTGCAGAGAGAGGGATGATAAAAACAGTAAGTAAAAATTGGATAGTCCAATTTAGGCTAAAGACACCATAGAAAAGTAACTTTTTCCTTCCTCCCTCCCTTCCTCCCTCCTTCCCTTCATCCCTCTCTCCCTTCCTCCCTTCTCCCCCCCCCCCCATTAAAGGCTGCACAGGAACTCCTTATCTGATCAGGCTGGCCTGGAAATAACAGCGATGTGCCTGCCTCTGCCTCCCAAATGCTGGGATTAAATGCCAGTGTTTACCATACTGGGCACCAGTCTTTTTCTTATCTAAAAGTCTTGACAGTTTTATCTTGCCAGAGGCCAAAGATGCTAAGTGTTTGGGGATCTCGTGTATAGATGATTCTAGGGTTACCACTTTAGGGAGGTGGGATGTTAAAATAGCAATGAAATCCTGTTGAGGGAAAACTCCTGGTGCAAGAATAGAATCTCTGACCTGGGTGCAGACCTAACATTCCAATAATTCACAATAATCTCCTGGCCAAAAAACCTACTCCTAGCAAGCAGGCTCACTTTAAACCATGCTGATGAAATAGATGCAATAATTAAATTTTGTACTAGGGGCCTAACTCAGGCTTATTGAGTTAATCATCACTTAAATATTATCACCATACTGCAGTTTCTTACTCCAAGATGGGACAGGAAAAGAGCCAACACCTTAATTAATTTGAAGGAATGTTTGTTTGTTGTTTTTTATTTTATAAGGAGGTTTTTGTAAAAACAATATTAAATGTGTTTAGGAGAATGTGTTTATCTCCACCACTTTTGCAAGACTTTTATGAAAATGTTTTAACTCCTTCCAACATCCAGTAAAACCTTTGTTTACACATAAGCCCATTGTTGTATCCCAGGATGTACAGGACCAAGGGTCAGTGTCCCAGTTAGCCTTTCTCATTTCCTGAGTGCTGATTTGTAAAGCTATTGAGTAGGTCTGTCAGGTTTGACCCCAGCCAATGGGAGAAAAGACACAGTCCCATCTGAGTGGGAATAAAAAACAAACCTGCTTCCTGTCTCTGTGTTTCATCTTCCAAGTGCACCCTCTTAATCAAAAGTAAACTTTACCTTGCCCAGGCCCTTCAGTTGGCGTGGTCTCTTTCTTTGCTACCCAGAACTTAACTTCTAATAGAACTGAGACAGCCACTTGTCTCAGTTCCTTGAAACAACTCCCTTTGCCCTGCTATTTTTGTTTGTTTGGTTTGGGTTTATTTGGAGACAGGGTTTCTCTGTGTGGCTGTCCTGGAACTCACACTGGAGACCAGGCTGGCCTTGAACTCAGATCCTCCTGCCTCTGCTTCCCAAGAGCAGGGATAAAGGCATGCACCATCATGCCTAGCCATCCTGCACTTTTAAAAAGCCTGCCCTTTCAATCTTATGTTTCCCTACGATTACTACCTAAATTCTGGCTCCCTTGGTCAAGTCTCAGTGTGTTTAAAAACTGATACAATACTTCCAAGTCCCCATGGCATTACAGAGGTGATCTGCACCAATAAACAGAAACCCAGTAATTTCATTTCATTCATTTAGAAACAGCATCTCACTGTGTAGCCTTGGCTGGCCCTGAGCTCACAGAGATCCAAACGCTGCCACGAAGAGGACTAAGGGACGAAGGGGTCTAAGGGCGTTGTGCCACCACCACACCCAGCTCAAACACACAGTCTTTCTAAAGCAGCAGAAGGCCCCAAGACCCGAGGCGCCGGAGCTGAGAACCCAGAGTGCCACCCTGTCTGTTCCAAGACAGAGGGGGGCCAGTGTGCAGTCTGCACAGGAGGGGCCGCCCTCCGCCGGGCCAGCTGTGGCCACCGCAGCCCGAGTGCACGAGTGCTGGTGGCAGGCTCCCCGGGGGCGGGAGGGCAGCGGGGGACAGGCGCGCCGAGCCGGGAGCGGGCGCACGCGCACGCGCACACGCACCGGCGCGCCGGGGGCCGGAAGAGCTGAGCGGCCCGGCGGCGGCTGCGGGCGAGCGCCAGACGGCGCGCGGCTGCCGGGAGAGCGCGGGCTGCGGGATGGAGCCCCCTGAGAGCGCGGCCGAGCTCGCAGGCGACGCGGTGGAGCTGCGCGAGCCGGAGCTGCGGCTCGCGGACCCCGCGCCCCCCGGCGAGGAGCATGCGGACGTCGAGGCGGCGGACGCCCCCGGCCCCGGCAGGTGCTGGCCGTACGGAGCCTGGGCGTGCGGCAGCTCGCGTGGGGAGCCGGGTGAGTGCGGGGCTGGCGGGCAGGGCCGGCCGGCCGGCCGGGCCGGGGTTCTCTGCGGGATCCCGGACCCAGAAAGTTTCCAAGTGTTCGCACCCCCAAATTGTGTGACGAGGGCAGGCCCTCACGGTCCGGTCCAGTGGCAGTCAGAGGTGAAAGGTCACCGAAAGGGGCAGGGCAGGCGGCGACCTGGGAGGAAGCAGACCTGGTTGGGACCCTCTTTTAGGGGGTAAACAGATCTTCCAGAACCAAGTTGAAAAGACTTGGATATTGAAAGTGTTTGTCCCAGACATCTCTTAGCATCTCAGAGAGGAGAGTTGAGTGGACCACTTGACCTCAAGCTTTTGGGGATGGGTGGACTTTCTAGCTACGAGATTAAAACAAGGTATGCCTTGTTAGAAGCCCAGGTGAGGAGCTCTTGACTTTTGTTCAAACTCCTCTTCCAAACGGGTGAAGTGAGGTCGTGGGAGGTGAGGGCTTTGGGGTTGGATCTCACCCCCTACTGCAATCTTCCAAGGTCTGGGTAGGGCAGGTCTGGACAGTACTAGGTAGGTACTAGGTAGGGCTCTGCTTTTGCCAGAGACTACGCCTAGGGCCCTTTCCACTTCCCTAACTTCCCAGAAGAAAACCCGAGGAGATTTTTCAGAACCAACTTAATGCCGTTGGCTATCTCATGCCTGGAATATGTCTCGGGGCTTTGTGCCTCTTGTCCCACCATTTTCCTTCCTTCTTTCTGAGTTTAGAGACAAAATTCTTAGGGAGATAATTGTTGCTACATTTCTGTCTCTAAAGCCAGGAGAAGTGATTGGGTTTCTGGTTATGTTTCCTTGGGCTTTGGCTCCAGAACTTACTAGGCTGCCCAGATGGGTGGCTCATGAAGAGGTCAGTTTCTCACCTAATCTCCCTATGGCTGAATGTCATTTTGGCTTACTGTGGAACTGGTACATTTGTGCACTAGTGAGGGGGTCTGGATACTCTGGCAGCTCATTGGCAATATGTCAAACCTGTGTGAACACCCAAGAATCTTGTCTTTCAATTTCAAGGCAAGGTCCTAACAGTTATTTTTGAGAAAGAACAAACAAACAAAACAAAAAAACCAACCACAAACCACTAAACTGTTGGCATTGGACTTTTGACTGGTTCATTTTAGACTCTTAAAAAAATTTTTTTGAGACAGGGTCTCCAGTTCACTCTCACACTCTCACACCCAGTCCTCCTGCCTAAGCCTCCTTGAGTGCTGGGATTAAGGGCATTCATCGCCACGCCTGGCTTTGAGACTGTTGATCTAAGTGATTTCTTAACAAAACTCATCTTCAAGTTAGGTCAGAACTGGATAACCTTACCAGGCAGTTATCACCTGTCCAGATAGCTATTTGCTGCAGCAGCAGTGTAGATCTTGAACTAAAAGGCCAGATGTTATCTTAGCCTTGTACCTCATACTCTCCTGCTGGAGTGAATGCCTCCAACCAGTTTTTACAGAGTTCCAAAAGTTCTGGGGTGGGGCCTGGAAATGGAATTTTTAAGTTACTCTGGTGATTCGCAGCCAGGTCCGAATCACTGGCATAAAGCCGAGTGTGGGGAAGCTAGTGAGCTGGGTTTTTACTTTCTTCTGGAAGTTATGTGGCGACCACTTCACTTGAATAGTTGAACTTTCAACTTGGCTTGTTTGGAGTGATTAGACACACACACTGTGTGGATATGAGTGTGGAGGTACATCATGTGAGCAATACCTTACACTGCTCACTGCCATTGTCACAGGGAATTAAAATGTCCACTTAGTAAGAAACTGAGGTCAGAACATCCTTGCCTCTACCAACAGTCAAGTTTAGTTCACCTGTCTATTACCTGCCTGTCCTTAATCAGAAATCACCAACCTTAGACACGAATTTGGAGGCAAAGGTAGGCAGATCTCTTGAGTGGGCAGCCAGCCTGATTATGTAGTGAGTTCCAGGATAGCCAGGGCTACACAGGGAGACCCTACTTCAAAATAAAGCATTTTTTTCCTTTTAAATTGTTTTAAAGGAGAAGACCCATTTTTCAAGTTAAATTATACCATTATTAGAGAAAAAGCCATTGCATTTAAGTTGGAGAAGACCCTTGGATTAGTAAACCAGGTGGATGTTTTCTGTCCTGGGACTTTTCATTCTGTTCTGTCTGAGGGTGGAGGCTTCGTTGAAGAAAGCTTGTTTTATTTGGATCTAAGTTTTGTAATTTCAGAAGCCCAGCTCTCAGACTGACCACAGCCAAGGCATGCATTTTGTGGTGCTTGTGCCTGGAAGTCTTCTGCAGTTTCCTTCTGGAGGCCTGGGTGGTTCACTCCCGCAATGTCAGAGTACAGGGATAAAGTTATCGTGGGGGGCATCAAAAACAGAGCCACAGTTCCAAAGCAGTCTCTCCAGCTGTGTGCCTAGAACAGGTTTCTGAAGAGAGCATCACTGATGTAAAGGGCTGGCCATACAGTGTCCTCATACCTTGGTCAGGATTTGCAGGCGCTTGTGGACAAAGGTATCTGATGTGAGGGTGTTGAAATCTATTACCTGGTGTATCATTTATCAGAGAAGGGCATTTTAAAAAGAGAACGTAATTATGCAATAATGTTCCATAGCTGAGTAACACTTTGTGCATTCTAAGAGTGGAGTGGCTGACCAAGTTCAAAGTAAATTGCAGCGTCCACAGGTTTTATGTCTCCAGTAGACTCTTAATTGACAAGAGTCAGTTGTTTTCCTTATCACTATCTCTTTTTCATGTTCGCTAGGAGACAGTGGTGTGGTGTTGTCTACACACCCAGTGTGCAACTTGTCCTTAATGCTACACCAGATGTCAGGAATAAAGATTTGAAGACCAGCAGAAAGCACAAATTTATTGGTTCAGATTAAGATGGGGGCAGAATTAGCAGCTCACGGTTACACAACAGCCAGGCCTTTCCAGTTTCATCTTCTTGCCAGTCACCTTAGACCCTTGTCTTTCCAAGGGTTTCTCCATTCTCTCCTTCACTGGATACTTCCTTGGGTTGCATATGTCCCAGGCATGAACAAGATGGCTGAGGTTCCCAGTCCTGGGAAAACTCATAGGCTCATGGGAGAAGTTAGATGATAAACAAATGACCAGATGAAACAGTTGGAAACTGATTTTCAGCAAAGCAGCTTTTCTCCCTGAAGCTCACCGGTGAGAGGATGGAAGACTCTGTCACTGATAAGGACTCCACCTCCATTTGACAGGTGTTTCTTATAGATCCCTCTCATCCTCTTAGCAAGATTTTCTTGACTTGTCAAGTGAGGGATGATACTTAGTGAACCAAAAGAAATCCCTCTTTATGGGGAGAAATGACATTTTTTTTTAATGTAGTTTTAAATTGTTACCTGTACCTATGGATTCTTCATAACGGGTAGGGAAAATGGTACAAGGCCAGGGATGTTCGGGTCTTACCTGTATTCCTCTAGCTGTTGGCTGATAGAGTGCATCTTTCTCAGTTTGTTTCTAAGTAAAAGTGATGACACATATACTTGGAAGCAAGGACTAACCACAATTTAATCTTTTTCAGAAGCCAAGAAGAAAGCACCCTGCCCTGGACTTGGCTTGTTTTACACAGTGTTGTCTGCCTTCCTTTTCTCAGTGGCCTCTTTATTTGTTAAAAAAGTGCAAGGCGTCCATGCTGTGGAGATCAGTGCGTTTCGATGTGTCTTCCAAATGCTAGTTATTATCCCTTGCTTAATATACAGAAAGTAAGTATTTTGCAGAGTGAAGTAGAGGAGGTTAATAAGTGTGTGAATCTTTTGAACTGCCTTAATATTTTTCCTGTAAGCTGGTTTATCATAGATGGACCAGTCTTCCCCTTTACCCTGATCAATGACAGGTTCTCAGGATCTACTCAGAGAAGACCCTTCCATAAGCACAAACCCCATGTCCATCAAAGGAGGAGGGGGCCATGTAGTTGTTCACCCTTTCTATTTGAAGACAAAATTCTGGGTGTACCACCCTCCCTCCTTTACTTTGGCATAGCTAGTGTTTTGAAGCTTAAAAAGTAAATGATGGGAGGTATAGAGTGTCAGGTTTCTTTCAGTGGGACAGACTGCCCTGCCAGATCATGCCAGGAAGATGGTGGTCTCACAGAGGGTGGCAGGTAGGACCTTGAGCAAGATCTTTGGCTGCTTTGGTGTTTGTTTTCTTATCCTATAAGCTGGAGGGAGCGGCGCTGTCAGGGCTGTGCCCCAGAGCAGGTTGCAAGGGTCAGATAAAGGGTTATTCTTTGTTAGAGTACTTTCTGGAGACTTCAACATATAGGTACTATTTTTACTGTCACCTCCCCTGTCCCCACTCCATACTTGATCCCTTTTCTTCTGTGTAGAATCGGTCATTCTCAGTAGGGCTGAAATCAGCCCCTCCCCACCCCATACCTTAGACATACCTTTGTGTTCTTTGAACCCTGGGAGGAGACTTATTGGGCCCTAACTGGCTACCTGGCTCTTTGTTTGGAAGCTGAAGATGCTTAAACCTCAAATCAAGTTTCCATTGCTTGCCTGCAGAGCCTCCTTGTATCCATGCCATGATACAGATTCATTTAGAATAGTGTCATTCTGTATCCTGAGAAATTGGTTAGAAAGTGACAGTCTGCAAAGATTCACATTGCCAGCAATCCCCATGTAAATGTGTAAGCTTCCAGAAGTAACGGCGAGCTCCACCACTTCCTACAGGAGGTAATAGCACTGAGGTTAGCAACCATATTCTCCATTTTTCAATAAAAATAGTCACAGCCAGGAAGTATTTTGAAAAATCTCTGGCTCTAGTCTGTTTTGATGTTGTGTTCACTATCATGGAACATTCATAGCTTTTTCTACATATATATGGGCCACAAATGTTCATGTTCACCTGGATGAAGTCTGCATAGCGTGAGTCAGTGAGTTATACCTCACTAGGAGCATCAGAGTAGGTTTGGAGTGTTTAATTGGAAAAACAATAGCACTAATTTTATGTATGAACCACTGCTTTTGTTTTCTTCAGTGTATTTTAACTCGTAAGAACAATGAAAAGGTATCCCACACTCAGTGACTAAATTCTAACATTGTTCAGCTTTTATATAGAACTGATGGATTAAGCTTCCTCATGTTATGCCACAAAAAAAAATCTTGAAATTATGTTTATAAAATGACGTGTTTTCATCATAGGAAACTTGGGGAAATTATGTGATTCTACTACTAGGGTTTAACACCTCTTAACATGTCATTCTTTTTGCCTTCATTTTTTACAAAAATGTATGTGGGAAAACAGTCATATTTACCTACTTTTTATCATACTGTTTATGAGGTTCTGTGTTCTTCTTTTGCTCCTGCTGTGAACATTTTGAATCATCATTACCTATACCTAGAAAAATATTTTTAAACAATGCATACTATTCAATACTAGGTAGAATTTACTGTTACTTCTTATTGTTAGTATAATGTACTTTTAGAGTAATGTCTGATTAAACATTTTGATTTAAAAGCAATGCCAAGTTCATTTAAAATGCATTTTTTTTTCATTTGAATTTGCAGAACTGGGTTCATAGGTCCCAAAGGCCAGCGACTTTTCCTTCTTCTCAGAGGGGTCTTTGGTTCCAGTGCCATGATCCTTATGTACTATGCTTTCCAGACGACGTCCCTCGCAGATGCCACAGTTATTGCATTTAGCTGTCCAGTGTTTACGTCAATATTTGCTTGGATATTTCTCAAGGAAAAGTATAGCCTTTGGGATGCTTTCTTCACGTTGTTCGCATTCGTTGGAGTGATCCTTATCGTGAGGCCGCCATTTTTATTTGGCTCCGACACATCAGGGATGAGCAAAAGCTATTCAGAGCACATTAAGGGAACATTTGCCGCAATTGGACATGCCGTGCTAGCTGCAATGACTCTGGTTATCTTAAGAAAAATGGGAAAATCTGTGGACTACTTTCTGAGCATTTGGTATTATGTCATACTTGGCCTTCCTGAATGCATCATCATCCTCTTTGTCATAGGAGAATGGAGTCTCCCTTACTGTGGGCTGGATAGACTGTTTCTCATACTCATTGGGCTCTTAGGTTTGGGGGGTCAGATATTCATCACTAAAGCTGTTCAAATAGAAAAAGCAGGACTCGTAGCAATAATGAAGACAATGGATATAGTCTTTGCTTTTATCTTTCAGATTGCTTTCTTCGATAATATGCCGACGTGGTGGACGGTGGGTGGGGCTGTCTGTGTAGTAGCCAGCACTACTGGTGCAACCATTCGAAGATGGCTCCAGAGTTCCAAATGAAATGTCACTGTTGAAATCTATATTTTTTTCAAATATGCCATCACTCAGCTCAGACATCGTACACACCTGCACACATACCTGGAAAACCTGCATTATTCCATGACTATATTTAATAAATTTCTTAAATAAAGTACCATTTTTGAATATGGTATCTTTTAAATTAAGAGTAGCTAGTCTAGCCTAGCAATTTTTGGATAGCTTTTATTTTTGCTTTGGCTTGTTGCGGTTGAGGTGTCATTGAGAAGATAGCTCTTTTGAGGAAATTCAGAAATTTTTATGAATACAGTTTTTAAAATTTTATTTTTGACACAGATAGGATATGGGTGAGAAATACTCTATTTTAGCAGTGTAGATAAGAAGCTTAATGTTGACAATGCTGCTATAATTAGTACTGTGTTAATCCTTCTTTTGCAATATAATTCCACTTAGAATGCCAAAGCTGAAACTTGGTACAGGTGCCTACTTATTGATGGGAGTATAAGTGAACCAGCCTTATTGTCAAGACTCTTACAGATGATCATTACACTTTTAACTCTTATTTGTGCCTTTTTGTTTTGATGTGAGGATTTTTATATGTACTCTCTGAACAGAGCCTTTCGCTCGCCATATATGGTTTGCATTTCTCGCTTTCCGTAGATTAGTAACTCTGGCTCTCATTTTAAATTTTTAATTGTCTCCTGCTTTATTGAAATTGCACTTTTTTTTTTAACATTCCAAGATTTTCAATCTTAAAATCATGAGAGAGAAATCTTGGTGTGACCAGTATGCACATTCCCATCTTGAGGTGTTTACACTTGAGATGTGATAATTTTCTACAAATTCTCTTTGTATTCATAGTATGATGCCAAATACAGTTTTCTCAGGATTGTGCTAGGTTGGGCCTTATCAAATTGCCCAGATTGTACCTTTTTTATTTACAAAAACCACAGTTCTAGAAGGTTTACCCTAATAGCCCCTTTAAAGTACAGGCCTGTTATTAAACTTACTCCCACAGTCTTTTTCCATTTTGGAATGATATGTTATAATGCTTGTGATATATGAAAAAGATAAAGACCTATTAATACACAGTTGATTGACTTTCATGGTTTCTTGCATATATACATATATAAAAAAAATCACAGGTAAATGCTAGTCTTTGACAAGCTGTACCATATATAATACTAGTGTGAACTTAGACAGTAGATTCTAAATGTGCAGTATCATCAGATTGGTACTCTTCTGTGAAAGGAACATTCAGGAGATTGGCCAGGGTGTTGGGAATACATGATCACCAGTCTTTGTCACTTTGGATGCCTTTATAGTAAGGCCATAGTGGATGCCATGTCTTACTCTGCCAGACACCCTCTGTTGTTATCTTAAGCTGCAGAGTTGAGGGGCTCTGTGTTCCTTCCCAGTCTCCCCACAGTTCTTCCAAAGGCAGGAACTGGGTTCCTGGAATGTACATTCTGTTAAGAGGATCGCCTCCAGTAGTTCCAAAGAGGAACTTTAACTTTAATGGTTTTAAAGACTTTCCATCTGACATCCTGGATGATTTTTATTTAGCTGAGTCATCTCAATCACACATGACCTGACTCATACTCTTGGAACTTAGGTTTGCAACATGCCATTCTACCAGCATCTCAGAAAATATAGTCAACAGCCTGTTAAAGTTCAGAGTGTCTTAGAGGTCATCCTTTGGGAGCCGTGCTCCATAGTTAGGGATGACAGGATGGAGGCCTGCAGTAGCTGGTTTCCACGGCAGCCTCTACTCACTTAGTTCCACTTACGGAAAGTTAGACACTCCAGGAGCCACTGACTAACTTACACAATAGAAGAGTCACTGGGTCTGGGGACTATAAACCCATTTGGAGACATGTTTTATTTCCACAATGTCTTAAGTACTTGAATGTCACAGTATGTGGCTAACATTGGAGACAATGTTTCTTATCCCGACCTTTATAGGGTATGATTTTTAAACAATGTTCAAGTGGTATACAAGGCTATGTATTGTAACAATTATGGGGGGGGTGGGGTATGTATTTTCCAAAGATTGTTATTTCTATATCTTGCAAAGGAAAATATTTTTCCTAACTTGTTTTTATTTTATGAGTAATAAAATTATAAAAGAAAGTGATACGTTGGCTTTTATGACTATAGAAAAGTGCCTCATAACTCATTTCTCAACTGGTTGCTTCAAATTTTATTTTCTATGGGAGACTGGCTTCTAGCCATTTAGCTAGGCTGTGATCTTAAAATTTCAAACTGTATTCGTTCCTCATACACAGTAAATGCATCTCCAAAATAAAGTGTAATCTGGCCCCCGAATTAACTAACCAGAGCTCACATGGGCTCACAGAGCTGCAAGCACGGGGCCCACATGGATCTGCACAAGGTCTCCATGCGTGGTACGGCTGTTAGCTTGCACTTTCTGTGGACTTCTCACAGTGGGAGTGTCTCCGACTCTTGCCTGCTCTCAGGACTCTTTCCCTCCTATTGGGTTGCCTTGTCCAGTCTGGATATGAGGATTTTTGACTTGTCTCGTGTCTTGTCCTGTTTGACTGTGATCTCTTGGAGGCCTTCACTTTTCTGAAGAGGAAATGGAGGGAGAGAGGAGAGATGGAGGTAACTGAGAGGCGTGGAGGAAGGGGAAACTGTGGCTGGGGTGTATTATATGAGAAGAGTATTTTTTAATTAAAAAACTTTAGGAAGACAATAATTGGTTCAGAGACCTTCATTTTCCTAGCCTCCCTCCATTCCGCAAGTTTAGCAACTTGGAGCTTTGCTGTCTTTAGATAATCCACCAAGTCCTGTGATGTCCTCTTGCTGTCCTAGGAATTCATTCTACCCTCACATGTCCAGTGCTGCCGACCTAGTCATTACACCTGATTTTCTACAACTGTATTTCTAAGCTACTTACTTAAGGCTTTGAGCTTGACCCAGATGTCAAGGCAGGCCAGTGTTCCCAAAGCCCCTGCTGTGGTCACTCCCCGCCTCAGGAAGCCACTGTGGTGGCTGGTAGTTCACACTGTCATGCTGTCTGCTCCCCCCCCCCCCACCTTGCATTCCCACGTCCCAGCACAAGACACTTGGGTCAGCCTTTTGTCAAGTCAGCTGTGTGAGGGGAACCCTTTCCCCTGCTCTCCTTGTGGCCTTTCATGTGTCCTCAGATCTACCAGCCTCACTGGCTGAACTGGGGACCTGGGAGTTTTCCTCTGCCTCCAGCTTCTCAGTCCCATTAATACCTTTAGAGAAGGTGGCAAAGGACCGGGCTAGGCATCTGGGGCTGGGTGTAGTTTTGTTACTTTCCGGTGAGACAAACAGTGTACCTGGGCTCTTCACTTGGTTAAGTAGAAGATTATTGTCCAAATCCTCCTAACTAGTGAGTGGCATAGACTGGAGGCCAAAAGGGAATCACAAAAGCACAAGTGTTGAGCTGTGGTTAAGACTGTTCACTCTCTTAGAAATGATGCCTCCTCTGGGCCCCTTCCCGAGCAGCCTCGCCGAGAACTGCAGCTACAAATGTCTCAGGATGCAAACTTCAGTCAGTCCCTCTTGTAAGCACAGACTTGGATGGATGGGCACCTCGTTTGCAGGCTAGCTGCCCACAGAGGGCTGCCTAGGGACACTGCTTTTCCTTTCTTGTGCACAGGTGTGGCAGTTTTCCCAGTTGGCTTTAGTGCTTGTCCCCAGCAAGAGTGATGTTTGACTCTGACTTGGGGAGTAGGCCTCAGCCTCCATGGGCCTCCATTATATTAATCATGACTCTTCTAGCTTCTTTGTGTATCCACTGAACATGACAGGTCATGTAGTGGCAAGAGAGCTAATTTCCCCGATGGTACCCTGTCCTCTCCTCCAGGTATGTGCAAGTTCAGTGTTTGCCATTAGAACTGGTTCATTTTGGTATCATTTGGATATGCAATACCTGGACACTACCCACAAGCATGACTTTATTTATTTATTTATTTTGGTCCTTTTGGTGTTGTATATCAAATCTAATATAGCTACCATACTTACTCAGAATTCTCCAGGATGCCTTACCAGTGACTCCTTATGCTACCCAAAGAAACACTTACCTAGGCTCTAGCCTATTTGAAACTGGCCTTGGAAAACTTCTCAGAGAACCCATGATATGTGGTACTCCCTTTTATCTAGAAATTGGGGGTAAGGGTTATAGCATGAGGGTAAAGAGCAATTACATGTGATATCAAGGCTGGGCAGGTAGCAATGGCAGCCTGCCCCACACCCTCAGGTGCTCTGAGTTCAGGAAATACCACCACTAGAGGAAAGCCTGGCTCTTCTAACCTTTCATGACTCATAACCATTCATAGTCCTAACAGGTGTAGCCATAAAGCACAGGAAGTAGCCCATATTTCTGATTTGTTGCCAGGCTGAGTTCAAGAAAGTATAGACCCACCTTTGAGAAAAAGTAAACAAACATGGGTAGGAGAAAAATGTGTTGAGGTGATAAAAGTACTAAGCCAAGGTCAGGTGTAGCAGCTGAAGACTATAAACTCAGGGCCAGAGAGAACCAGTGAGCCAAGAGGCCTGTTCCTGGTGCTGTAAGAACCCAGCCGTTCTCACAGGTGATCAAAGCAGTCAAAACCCCAAATACACCAGGGGGGGGGCTGAGGATCTGATTATTGGGGGTTCTTTATGATTACGCCAGGTGTTACCATGTTAATATCAGAATTGAACTCAAAGCATGAAGTCATGTTCAGATTCCCATTTCTAATTCAGTCTAACTATTTCTCTCATGTGATGCTCCCCCTGGGAGCCCAGTTGCACTGCTGAGAGGAAGACCCACAGGAAGAGGAGGCTCCACCCCTCAGGCCCTTCTGCACCCCAGCTGACAGCTCACTCTGACTCGCCAGACGGAGAGTGTGCACACTGGGAATGGACCCTCCAGCCCTCAGGTAGGCTACCCCAACTAATGCCATGTACGGAACATACAAACCTAACCCACTCCTGGCTGCTCAAATTGCAGATTGATGGGAATAAAACGTCGTTGTTTCAAATTACTAAAAAATAAAGATACAAAAAACATGTTTGAACCTGTTTGTACCTAGTTATACCTATATGATCACAATTATATACA